GAACAATACGAAGGAGCCTCTCAAGATAGAGGCTTACAGAGTAAGTGGCCCATATTATGGGGATATGTGGAGGAGGTAACGTTTAACCCTAGACATGAACAAGTTAAGATTGTAGTGATCGGGGAAGCATCCACTTGGGAGCCAATTCCACAAAACAGTGGTTCGTGGGAAGAAGCTGCTCGAGTGGAAGTTACATCTCACCAATGGAATACGAAGGAAACGAGAGCGGTCGGCTACAATGTGCGAGGAATGGTGTGTCTTAACAGTGAAGTTTAGAACTCGTAGAGCTAACGAACGTAGGTCGTCTGAACATTCCCTGGAAATAACGATATTGTGGCAAAAGGCTTGCGACCTTTGGTCTGTGGGAAAGGGGTTGTAGGATGGAAAATAATTAATCACCCACAAGGACGCGAAGACACTTTTTGACACTATCGAGACTAGAAAACGAAGACTGGGTAGCTCTTGCCCCAATATGGTAGCAATACGTCATTTTTGGTTGGAGCAGTTTCTTGTTAAGATAGAGCTTAGTAGGAGTAATCAGTTACTTACTGGATCAGTACAGGAAGCTAACAATTTATCCATTATCTTTAACGATATATCGTATATTTGAGTTCCACTTTAGGTTTGAGTCAGTTTAAGTACCAATAGACTCACAACGTACGGGGTCTCTCTGAGTAACCTACAGAGAATTCTGTACTTTATTTAATCTTCGGGTGTAGACTATTCTGGTTCCATTGGCCATGTCCAGGGATATCTCGTTTATATTTTATTTTTTAGTGTTGCTGACTTATTGCCCACTGGGTTTTCACTGTGTCCAAGTACACATTCTAGAGATTGAATTTGTTGACAGTAATTGCGAGTGCAATCCTAGTGTCGGGCAGAAAAGAAAAACATAGAAAGAGGGCTATGGATATACATAATGCGTCAATTATTTGAGAACATATCTTTAGAATGCGATAAGTGACGGACTTTAACTAAATATCCTATCTCTGTTTTTTCGCTTCGATATAGAGCTTCGACTCTAAAGCAGGAGAAGAAAAATCATCCGGTACGCATTGCTTTTGCCGCCAACCCCACAGAATCGGGTATTGCAACCTTCTTTGATCTCAACAGCGCTATTTTGTTCCAGTAATAAGAATGTGTCTCCAGTGGTAAAATAAATACATTCCTATTCCTCTGATATAATTAGGAATGTAGACTTCGTCCAGAAAATCTAGGGTGTTATCCACGTGAACCTCGAAAAATTCACCAATCAGACATGAGGCGAGCAAAAAGCTCAAGTATAAATTCAACTTTATGGAAAAATTGTCAGTTCATATCAGATGGCGTCGTAATCTTAACGCAATTTTGGATTACAAAATACTGGAAAAAACATCTCTTCCTTATACTAGGGTCTGACATTTAAAATCTATTAACAAATTTAACAAAAACCTAAATTGTTTGCATTATTTAAAATATTCGGACTGTTCTCTTTATATTCATTGCCATACAACGGCCGGAACGTTGTTCACATCGTTTCGGCCGTTGTACGCTCCGGCCTTCATCACAAGATTGGAATTTCGAATTAAACCATTTATTTTAAAATTCTAATCATTCGAAGAAGGCCGGAGAGTACAACAGCGGAAACATTGTAAATATGGCAGTGAAGATGAGGATAACAGTCCAAATAATGTAAATAATCATAATGTCTCACCTCAGAGATATAGTCAGATAAAGTCCTAAATATCAAGGGGAATATATATGATTAAAAATTTGTTCAATGTTTTCAAGATAACGTGTCATCTAAATTCAATAATACTTGAAAGAATGAGTTCTATAAACGTTTTTGTAGATTAGGAATTTTCATAATTATTGATATTCTTTTAAAGCGTAAAATCAATTGAAAAAAGCATTAGACTCGGAAAAATTCCAATTCAGAATTGTCTGTTTTCTCTGTCGTGTATTTTTGAAATACTTTAAATAGATAAAAAAAATAATTTAAACATATAGCAATTAATATTGCACCAACAGGAAAATATTACTAATAGACATTGAAAGCGATGAAGTATGATATTTCAAGTCACTATATTATGCATTAATAGAAGAGTATCAATCATTAAAAAAGGTTGTCTTTATATACATATATCTTTTAAATAGATATTTTTCCGACATTATTTCTTATTATTAACATTATTTTTGGTGAGTACATAGAGATATAGATACATATACGTCAAAAAAGTCAACCATATATATATATATATATATATATATATATATATATATATATATATATATATATATATATATATATATATGTGTGTGTGTGTGTGTGTGTGTGTCTGTATCTGTGCATGGTGAACTCTCGACGTATGAGAGTCAAGCAGCTCAGTTCCTAGGAACCGACAGCCCAGAAACCAGCGCATATGATTTCATTGAAGTGGCGAAGGCTTTGTGCAGAACAAACCACACTATTCAAAGAGCCAATTACAGAGAATTGTCGAACTACGAGCCACAAGGACAGCAAACGAATTTTGAATTCAGACTTGTCCTACTCTTAGACTAGTTGCCATCCAAGGTTATAGAACCCAGTCTGTCCTGCTATTTACCCATAGCTGAAGGGTGAAGAAGAGGATT